TCATGCCAGACAAGCATGACAAACATGCATTCTTTTTCTTCCAGACCCAGACATTTTTACATTTGATACTCCACTTTCCGGAGCAGGCGGTCGAACGTCCGGCGGAAGGGGTCGCTCCTCTCGATGCTGTCCGGCTGACTATGACAGTGCACAACTCCCCCTCGGCCTCATTTCTCATGCAAAAGCCCAAATCCAGTTGCAGCTTCCCTGCGTCAGTATTATGCACGGCAAATTCCGGACGCCCAAACAGTACTACATCAGGTACAGAAATTTGTCATGCATAGGCTCCACGTGTGCCGGTGTTTGTATTGCTGTTCACGCCACACAAATGAGGAGAGGGGGAGTTGTTGTGCACTCTCATATTGACCCTCCAGCGCTTTGATCACGTTGTTGTCAAACTTCTGGCGCTTGCCGCCCTTACCCCGCATCAGGTGCTCCTCCGGGTTTTCGAACAAAAATATCGGGCTCTCCTCGGTGTCCGCTTCCCGAATGTCCGTCGGCGAGCTGGTGGGCAGAATGAACTGGTACTCGTTCGACTGGAACATGTTCTTCCGTTCCGGATTGTTCAGCAGTGCGTTTTGCAAAATTTCCCGCCGCCCGGCCACGTCATCGTCCTCCGTCTCGCTGTCGCGGATCAAAACGAATACGGATTTATTTTTGTGGTCCTTTTCGCCAGCAACATCCCGCGATTTTTGGTTCAGCAACGTCCCCTTGGCACCAGCTGCTGCTGCCCCGACTTCCGCGGTTTTCCGCAGCGCGTTCCGTACGACAGTATCAAAAGGAAAATAAATCCCCCCTCCCCATATCGAAAACGAAATTTGTGCTGCTGTATTTTAGTACACAAGTCGACTCGTATTGCTAGAAGGCCAAGAGACGCAGTTGCTCCCTCCTTTGCAGGCATATATTGTCATGCTGTTTTCCATTTCCACCATTGGCCTCCTGTCATGCTGAAGACGCATCAGGGCTCTCCTACGCCACCCAGCACTTCTAGAGTCCGGTTCTTTTGCCTTCTGGCATGACAACAGGATTCGTGGTCTCAAATCATGCTACACAAATCTCCGCTGCAGTGTGGGGAGGGGGGATTTATTTTCATTTTGATACACAGTCAAGCTCGTTTCCAGCATGTTCAGGCATATCCTGAGTAAAAACGTACCCACACCAGAGTCAAGATGGAAAATCTGCTAGACAAATCGGCCAACTTTGCTTGTTTCGCATGACAAATTTGGACGCGTAGTGTAGTGCTGTTTGTGCTAGTTCAGCAGCATTACAGATCTAGTCTCTCATGCTGATTGGAGCATGACAAATTTCAAAACACCCTTAGAAAATGCTTCTCATGGGGCTCCGCATGACAAACATTTTAAGCATGCAGATTTGCATGACAACTATGGTGTGGGTACGTTTTTACTCAGGATAAGGCACGCTTCGTCGTTGACACGGACCGCGTTGGGGCGGAACATCACCACCGAAGAAAGCCCGTACGCGATGGTAAAGA